AGATTTATCTTCAATCAGATATATACTGTATATTTTAATATAGCGTCTCTACGTCCATGCCATCTGATCCCATGCAGAAGAGACACTGAGAGATGACCTGAGGTTTTACTTCATGAGCCCTTGTGAGAAGTACAGAACACGGCGACAGCTACCATGGAAACTAGCAGTGCAAATTTTGAAAATATTCATGATTACTCTCCAGGTATGTGTTATTACCTGCTTGCTTAAAGTTGAAAGTGTAAATGTGTAGTTGTTTTAAAAAAAACTGTTTCCCTGTTTGTTTGCGAATCACAATCAGCAACAGTGGCTCAACCAATTGTGTCATTTGGGGGTGGGGCTATCTGTTTGATTGACCAATGGAAGGCAGGGGGAGTGGTTAGGAACCTGTTTGAACACAGTCACTTTTGTAGTTTGTAGTTCCATTTGCTGAAGCTAGGGGTGTGGAAATGTAACGCTTCAGCTTTCAATGTAAACATTCTCTGAACTTTGAAGGATTTGTCATTATGTGATTAAACATCAGTAGTTTTGGCTTTGTAAATGACCATTTAAAGTAATTTCCTTAAAGTTCCATACAAATCTGTAATGTTCCACCAGGCAGAATGAAAACATCTCCTCTGTTTATTTCAAAGCTCATACTGTTTGGACTGAATAACCAGCTTGTGGTGTCCTACAAGGAGGAGAACCTGATGGCCTTTAAGAATCTGTTTCTTAGGGGCTACAGTGGTGTGGATGAGGATGACTACAGTATTGCTGTCTACACCAAACAGAATGTATATGATAGTTTATACTATGTCATAGATCAGGTATGTATTTGCTTTTCATCCATCTTGCTTCTTTCTCCACGTTTATTTTCCCTTCCATCGCATAGCATTAATTATGTTAAATGCAGTTTTTCTTTGTCTTGAAGGGATAGTGCCCACAAAAATGAATGGTCTGTCATTTACTTAACCACATAATGTTCCAAACCTGTATGAGTTTTTCTTCTGCTGGACATAAAAGATATTTTGAAGAATGGCACTAACCAAACAGTTGGTGACTTCCATAGTAATGGAAAAAGAAAAAAAAAATACTATTAAAATCAAAATGTTTGGTTTGGAACACCTTGAGTAAGCAATTAGGTACAAGAGGCTATGCTGTAACGTGAATAAGTAACGGCTGAAGGGCGTTGTTAGGCACGACGCGAAGCAGAGTAACCCCTTCAGCTGTTACTTATTCACGATAGCACTTGCTTCGATTACCTTATTGCTTTTATAAAACGGTTACCACACACTAAAAATATTAAAGTAAAAAAAAAAAAATGTATTAGTGCAACTTTCATGAAGTAAAATCACTAAAAGCCTTCCTTCCGCTAGAAAAAAATAGTCCCTGACATGAAGAGCAACAAATTCTCAATGTGTAATATGCATGAAAGGTCAAATAAAAACAAGATAGTGATAAATAGAACCGGTG